CCCCGGTCGGCGAACACACCTACACGAAAAGATAAATCGCTCTCCCAAAACCCCAATTTAATTCCCGACCGTAACAATTATATTTGATGCATTTGGCAGCACATTCTCCGTGTATCATTGACTCAATTTTTTTTTCGGTACAATTATGTATTGCAAAAAGCCATAACTACGTTTATATTAGCAGTCTTTACAAAAACTTCTGATAGTATATTATTATTAGAAATATTGCCAGCGCACAATGGAGTCACACTTATCGCACTTACTATTACGATAACCCTTTTGTGTCCGCGCAAGTAAGCATCAACGTATTTTTAATTTAATAGAATAGGTGTTGAGGCCTGATAAATCGAAGACAGAAATGTACCGTATATTAATATGCAGTGTGTAAAGAAATTACATATTTGACCACTGAGAGACAACGACCATAACAATCAACATAATTAATACCTCGTTTGATAGCTAAAATGCGGTAGATTTATTAATATGCTATTCTTTCTCCATTGCTTTCAATAACTAACTCATATCTGTACTTAATCGATTGTGCTAAATTAAGTAACATGTTTTCTGGAATATCCTCTAACATAAACGACTTAAATCTTGCTGGTTTTGTCGCATTCTCTTTTGACATTTCTTTTAACAATATTCCAAAGATTTTCTATTTTAAATGTGGAATCACGTCGTATATTCTGACCGATGTACCGCTGCAACAACGGAAGTAAATTTTTCGGTCTGCTCCTTTTTGTGGTTTATACTGCCAACTTTTTTAAGTTAATATAGATAGTACGCATTGGAATCTTTGTTTATTTGTGAATGTCTTTGGCTGAGCGGACTCCTATGTTCCAATAATTTTCGCTGGTTTTTTAAATCGGAACTTTGTCATTTTGTTAAAAAAGTAACTTCTAAAAGACATTACGCTATTTAATAGAAAATAAAGAGAAAGTTTTCGTGATCAAAGCAAAAACAAATTTACATAATTGGTTTATTTTTGGAAAAGTTATGCGATTTTAAGTCTATGCAAATTTTTGCCAATAATTTCTTTACATAATGTGTTGTCAAACTCACACAATAAATTACCGCAGCTTGTCTAATAAATTATTTATTTTGTTGAAATTTATATAATTTGACGTCAGTAACCATGACGACTCTGGCCAGTAAAACGTTTGCGAGCCGGCTGATATCGAGAGGCGATGATAAAAAATTTTATGACTTGGTGAGTATTTGCTCGTTCTGTTGCATAATTTTTAGTATTTAGCTCAGTTGCAATAATCATCCCAAATAGTGCATGGCAGAAGTCATACTCAACTTTGGCCAAGAATTTACTTCTCGCGATTAAAGTCCAGTTATGGTGTGCGAACGCAGTTTCTGCAATGGGCAGACAGAGATGAACCAAATCTATATTTATCTAGCCTGATATTATGCAATTATAGTGATGCTGAATTTAGGAGGGTAGAGGAGGAAAATTACATGTCACAGTTTATTATTTCGGTAAAGGAAGCACCAATGTTCCTACGACTACGTCGAAATGTGAGCAACAGAATAAGAAAGAACGCGTCGTTAAAAAACTTCTGAGGACGAACATTGCATCAAATATATCCATAATCTGACAAGAGCGATGGATGGTGATATATCATGAGCGTTCAGGCGCGTTAAAGGAAAGATCGTTCTAATAAGAAAACTTTTTACTGCTGGATTATAACACACCTGGTCCCGTATGATTTTGGAGCAATTTTGCTGAAATAATTTACTAGTAAAAAATTTTATGTACCGGTTAACAATTTGGGCAAAGTGGCGTATATGCCAGTTTGTCAGGATGGTCTTGTTGAAGCAGCTAACTAATTAAAGAAAAAAGACTATTAATAATTTCAACTGTTTGCAAGCCAGAGTTCATTTCGAAGATATTAGAATCACCTGACATCTAACGGTGTTGCATTGCCGTCTCCTGTAATATAAACCCACCATAATTACAGTTGCAATTGAGCTGTTTCCTAATCAACGGATTTGTTGTCTTATCTTTGCTTAAAATGCATTTATCCAATATTTAAATTGAAGCAACACACTCACAAATTAATTATGTGCTCGATAAGGACGCAATAGCACACTGAGCCTGGTTTTCGATGAAATTAGGAGATCGAATAATGGTAAAAGATTGTTAAAAAGATTGCTTGTAATAATACGGTAGACAAAATAAAAATAATGCAACCTATTTGATTTTTAGTTAAATTTATTGGAATACTGGACATACAAGTGTGGTAATTGTATGGCACTGCATTTTAAATGCACTTAAACAAAGCTCAGTGCTATGAAAGTAGAGGACACGCTCTGTCGAGACTAGTTAAATCCCAAGCGTTGATTACTTTCTACTCTTTCGCAAGCCTCTAATATTTAGAGCTTATTCCGTGCTAGAATTTTTACAAAAAAAATATACCAGTAACTTGGTATTATTGATTGTTAATAATGATTATACTGAATTTAGTTTCTTAAAAGCTAGAAAGCAAGTTTTTCTAAAATTACTAAAAATTAAATATTTGGATACTGTATTTCTAAGTCTAAACTTCCCTATTACACGTAGTTTACGAAACGCAAGATAATATTTTTATCCTGCGAATAAATATAATATGTAATATAAATTGGATTAAATTTTTTCTCTGTATACTTTAATTAAAAAACAGGTAAAACTCAAAGGTCGTCCATAATCGTGTAGCAATATCAACTGCTGATTAATATGCCTTGATGCATTGGATAAAGAATAGCGAAAAAGGCTATTCAATAATTTTTAGAATGCAGAATTTTTGGAAACATCCAGATATGCAAAAACTCACTATTTCTCGATTATTTCAGTGACTAAACGAGGAACGAGATAGCCGACTTTTCAAACTAAAACAGAACTCTCTTTAACGGGTAAGACGAATAGCGACTACAAACATTACCGACAGAGGTAAAATTTTCGTTCGTCCTGGTTATAAACTAATCGCCAGGTAAAACCCAATATGAAGATACCATTTAAAATAAAAATTTTAGTGTAGTAACTAGTGGTCTCGTTTCAGGAGGAGCAGTTGTCAAAGCAGCTAAGAAAGAATTGTTGCAAACAACACCAACAAATTGATATTATTAGTTTTTTTTTTTATAGATTATTGAAAAAGATAAAAATGAAGAAATAATTATTCGTTATTTTAATCGGTGGTCGTCTCAGGCTTATTTCTTTTATATCTCTTCTGTTTTTCGTTTCTTAATCTGGTGTAAATGTTCTCTTATTATGGATTTTTATTATTGATAAGTTTCACAAGCAATTCTTCTTTATCCAGAAATTTTTGTATCGTTCATTTTAAAAACATTGTCTAGAGTCTATGAAAAATGTGTTGAAAAAATTATGTTCAGCTTATATGATATATATTATGCACAGAAGAACATTAATTGCAGTTCTATCTATAAAAAAATGGCTTACAATTTAAAATCTAATAATTGATTTCTATGGGGGCATACTAATTATAATGTACTGAGTAAATATAAAGTTATCGGCACTAAATTTGGTGATAAACACCATCGATTATATCCATATGAGTAAGGTTCAAGACTCTTGGGTTTTAACAAGCTCAAGATTGCAATCTTTTTCTTACAAAGGAACATGTGCTATTGTTACTGAACCTTACAAAGAGAGGTTATACTGTACGACTTAAACTTTATCGCCGAAATACAAGAACTTTTTTGTAACACAGGCTAATCATATGATTCATTCATGACATACTAAATACCAAATACAGTCGTAACTATCTTATTGAGGCGTTCCGCTATTCCTCTACCATTGTATCGATATTACTGAGAACAGCTTCATTCTGTGAAGAAAGCGTGCTCCACTGTGTATCGATGAGCCAAAATTGCCATATCAATTATTATTATGTCGTTTCATAGCGGATCCAAAATGGTCAATGGAACACAAATAAGGCTTATTATTATCGTTATTGTTGTTATTATTAATACGAATACGTAAAACCGTATCCGAAATAGTTTTGCCGAAATTGCCGGTTTGTGTTTTCTTGATTCTAATTATTACACAGTATTATTGGTCATATATACTGTATATATCGATAATTTGCCGAAAATACATCATTGCCTAACCGCATGTATACAAACAGTGCAATGGTGCGAGGTAAAAAGTTCAAACTTAGTTGGGCGCAAGACGTCAGAGGTAGCATAAATGAGTGCAGTTGTCGAATCAACATTATGCGCAGTAGTGGCATTGAACTTTATCAGTTCAAGAACGTTTTAAGACACTCGATTTGTGGAACACCGCTGTTCTAATGGCGTGCATCATTTATGTTGCAGTCTATTTATATTTATTAACTACACTATCATCGATGATGTGTCTCTTTCATCAAAGATAGAAAATAAATATTACAAAGCCCTTGATTATGTAATCATTGTTTCACTATCTCCTGCCACTGTTCATTTACTCATTGCAAAACATCACACCCCCACAATACCTCGTTCAGTCCATCATAATGTCCCCATCTGTGTCTGGTTCACGCTTAGTTAATACTCGTCCATCATCAATATCCATTGGTTTAGTTACAACAAGGGCGGGAGTAGACATATTTGTCGACATGGGCGACGACACGCCGCTTCCACCTCGTGGCGATGATATTAAAGTTTGTCGTTCGGATGACATTGGCACCCGTGACATATTGTTCAGTACGTCCTCCATTATCACGTTGGGTTTACCTTTAGATTTATGACGCTCATTTCTTACCGACGATTTTTTCTTATCACTTCTGCTCTTCCGCAACGAACTATCTCCAAGTCCGTTTGAATGATAATTACGTTCGTTACGACGGCCACCACCTTCATCATCAGAATCGGAAAGCTCCGTATCTGGAACTATGCGCATATTACGCTGTCTCACTGAAGAGGGGTGATGAAACGGATGAATTAATGGGGTGAAGACAAAGATCGACACAGTTACAACTTTATAATTAGTAATTACTTAGTATAAATTATATGATAACTCACGTGACGTCCGTGTATCAGGCTCATCTTCGTCTTCGTCGGTATCGTAATTTCGGGGAACCTCTAAAATGCCAACCTCAAACGTGTCAGACACATAACCATTAACATTCTGTCTCAGAGAATGCACGCACATACCTTGCATCTGGACACTCGGGGCAAATGGTATATGCCGTAGATTCTCAAATACCTTCGCTCTTCATACAGAAACCATTAAAATTAAACGACTGCATGAGGTAAGGAACAAGTATAATCCATGCAAATTCGATATGATTACAATTAACCCTAACACTTTCTAACTGTTTGACTCTAATTGCACTCACTTCATTTCGGCAAGATAAGCCGGACTATTGAGGTTCTCCATGTTATTCGATGGTACATCTAATTTATATTCTGGGCCATAATACTCAAGGAAGTTATTGTATGGTAAATCTAGACATTTATGAGCATGGTTAATACACAACCACATTTACACGTTTGACTAATTCGTCTCCATTACTAACCTTCACTAAGTTTCTCTCCCGCAAATAATCCAGTCTCGTAGGTCCACACGCGTGCTACATTCCTTATTGTATATCCTCCACCACCGACTACCATTATGGGTAAATTGAAACTTTTCACAAATTCCGCACATTCTGCGTGGCCTTTCGACGATAAATTAAAGCAGCCCAGACGATCGCCAGCGAGTGAATCTGCACCACATTGAAGTACTACTGCGCCAGGGCGATACCAGTCCATTATATGTTGAACGACCTTAAATGCGCAGCAACAAAGTTGTAAGTACGTAACCATACTTACTGCTACGATGCAATACCAATTACTTGTAGATGTTACGTACGGGTCTAAACACGTTTTGAAAACTCCAATCGTCCATTCCGTCTTTTAGTGGAAAATTCACCGCATAGTATTTCCCCTTACCAATACCAATATCCTGTAAGCAATAACGGTTAACAAAAAAAGCGGATGACATTTCGCAATAATAGTATTAATTTCATAATCAATTCCAAAAATAGCATTACTATAAACCCTTGTAATGCTTACGGAGATGTCTCCGGTGCCAGGGAAGAATTGTCCAAACTTGTGGAACGAACAAGTCATGACTCTGTCTGTTGTATAAAACGCTTCCTCGACTCCGTCACCGTGATGAATATCAATATCAATATAAAGGACGCGCTGATGATATCTAAAAGATTTTTACTATTTATTATTCTGGAATATTGCGCTATCACGTGATTTGAATTTAAAGGGAAAACTGACCTTAATAATTCCAATATACCTAGTACAATGTCATTGACGTAACAAAATCCAGATGCTTCAAATCTTTTGGCATGATGTAAGCCACCTGACCAGTTTATGGCAATGTCCGACTCCCCACTATTCAGTTTGTTTGCGGCGTCTATATCAGAAAAGGTGTGAAATGGAACGCGTGAAAAATCAACGAAACTGAGAAGTGCATGTAATCACATATAATGATTATTATACTTACCAATTGAACCACCAGCTGATATCGAACAGAATTCAAAGAGGCCCTCGAAAATCGGACAATCTTCTCCCACATTATCTGTATGTAATTAAATGGTAAATAATAGTTATGTAGTATACTATTGACTGCTTTGATACTGCTCTATGCTCTTTGGCTATACATTATTACTCTAGTATTTCACGCCTTTAATAAAGTTATCTAGACATACATCGCGTCTGTTGTTGTGATAATTCTTCCACATTCTCGGGTGTCACTCTACATAGAAAATCTATATATTCGTCGGTATGAAAGCGCGTCATTTGCCGTGCTGTCGCCCGTCTAGGACTCTGTCAACGGAGAAAAACTCGTCAGTATTAGTCCATGAACGTTGGTAGAGCGTTTGCGCTCTGTGAATATCACATATAGGCAAAGATGTCGGAACGATTCGTACTATAACCTCCATTTTTCTAAACAGGCCATAATTAACAACCAGATCGTGCACCATACGCATTCTGTGTGGTTTCATAGGATGACCTAGAGTACATAACAGAATAGAATGTCAGTGTTACGCGCGAAATCACCAAACGCAGGGACTCGGCCATGACAAGAAAGAAGTCATATTCACCTGGTCCATACGTATAATTACCAACATCCTCTGCAGACAGAGCCAAATCGGTTATTCATATGCATATAAATCGTATTATAAATTAATTTGTACTACTCGTAAAACATTCTCTCACCGTCATAAAAATAAGAAACGCGCTTTTTGGATACGTTGGATAATGCGGACATATTTGACTTGTTGCGGTAATGGATGAAGTGCAATTCCACGGAAGAACGGGGAAAAAGGGCTGTGATGATTGATTGATGAATATAGTGCAGTAAATAATGCAAGATCTGCATACATGTCACTTAAATAGAAAGTGATCAACATTTATACTCTGCGAGCTACTATTTATACCGCGGATATGTATGTCTGCACTTTTATAAGATATTCACAGTTTGACTTGAGAATATCTGTACTGACAATACCAATAAATACAACATTTCCGCACGCCAACTGCTCTTGCGAGTTGAGGTTAACGTCTTAAACATGGCAAATCTCCTCGCTCAATTGTGGAATGGCGGGCGAACTCAACCGTCGGAACGCTATATTTACGTTAACAAACCACTACCAGCCAGTCTAAATAATAACAAAGGACGTCCGTTACAGACATTTGTTAGTAACAAAGTTACTACCTCAAAATATACCTTGCTTACATTTATACCAAAGAATTTGTATGAACAGTTTCGTCGAGTAGCAAATTTCTTTTTCCTGTTGATAGCAGTATTACAATTTTTTCCGGAATTTGTTACGATACATCCAGTAGTGGCTGCCTTGCCTATGATTATTATCACTAGCATAACAGCATTCAAGGATGGGTTTGAGGATTTCAAGCGACATGCTACCGACAAGACTCTAAATAACCGGACGACCCAGACACTCGGCAACTGGGAGAACGTAAACAGCTTCGACTCTAGCAAGACTTTTTTTGGTTATATTAAAAGATGCTTTGGTTTTGATAGAACGGTTAGTGATGGAATAGAAGGGGCGCATTGGAAAGACACATTATGGAAGGATGTGCAAGTCGGAGATTTTCTCAGGTTAAAAGAGGGCGACTTTATCCCAGCTGGTCAGTATTTTGTGATCGAAATGATATAATGTATAGTGCATCTTGCATAGCATATATCAACAGCCTTTGTAATGTAGTTATATATCTCTTTCTAATCATGTGTTTACCCCTTCCAGATTTAATCATTCTATCTACGTCCGAGTCAAACTCTCTCTGTTACGTAGAGACAAAGAATCTTGATGGTGAAACTAATCTCAAAATACGACAGGCTGTGCCTGAAACAAGTGATCTCCAAACACCAGAAGATTGCGCAAAGGTCGAGTTTCAGGTTGAATCAGAGCATCCGAAGGCCGATTTAATCAATCACAATGCAAAGTTAATATGGTCTGATAAACGCCAAACACCAATTAATCTAAACACAATGCTATTGAGGGGTTGCGTGTTGAAGAACACAGAGTGGGTTATCGGCTTGGTGATATTTACTGGCAAAGACACAAAACTGGCCCTGAATTCAGGGAAGACTCCTTCTAAGCGAAGTCAAATTGAGAAGCAGATGAATATACAAGTGTATGCATCTATGTTATTTCTATTTGTTGACCATATATCGATCGTACGCATATATCGTTAACTAAAACCTCTTTTTTTTGTAGTTTGGTTAATCTAGTGATCGTTGCGATGATGTGTATTGCATGCGCCATTGGAACGAAGCTCTGGGAACAATATTATGCTGACCGTGGAGATATTGCTCCATTTTTAGGAGCACAAACTCTAAAAGAAAACTCGACTTCCACTGAGGCTATGATCTCTTTCTGGTAATAGAAATTGGTATAATAATTGTACTTTATTAATTACTCATCCATTAGCTAACACCAACTTGTTATTTATCACAGGAATGGGTTGATCACATTCCAAAATATAGTACCGATATCTTTGTATTTGTCTATAGAGTTCATAAAGTCAGTCCAAGCCTACTTCATCTATGCAGATAACGAAATGACATACCAAGGGACATCTACGATTCCCAAAAACTGGAATCTATCGGATGATTTAGGTATGTAGTGATTGCAAACTGCTATCGCATACCATTGAAGTAGTAATAAATGGCGTACTTTTTTTCCGTTTTACAGGTCAAATTGAGTACATTTTCTCAGACAAGACAGGAACGTTAACTAAAAATGTAATGGAATTCCGCAAGTGCTCGATAAACGGCAAAAAATACGCTGGGGATTCAATCGACGACAGTCAATCAACCTCGGATCCAGTGTCATCCAGCAGCAGTCAAGTCCCTTCAGAACCGTCATCATCCGATAACTCGACAAAAAAGAAAAGAGATTCCAAAAATTCTAAAAAAATTAACAAGAAACCAGAGACCAGACACTTTGGCGACAAGAATCTTATCGCAGATTTAAACTCCGGTTATTCAGAACACACAAGCATGATCGACGAATTTTTCACGCTCCTAGCAATATGTCATACTGTCTTAGTCAGCACTAATGAAGAGGGAGAACAACAGTACAAAGCTCAGTCTCCAGATGAAGCCGCCCTCGTAAAAGCTGCAAAGGATGTAGGTTATACCTTTGTAGCACGCGATCTGAATAATATTACAATTGTCACTCCAGACGGAGAAAAGCAATTCGAGTTGCTTAATGTGTTGGAATTTAACAGCACTCGTAAAAGAATGAGTATAATTGTAAGAGAGCCCCAGCATGGCAAAATAAAGTTGTATTGTAAAGGTGCGGACAATATAATCTTTGAACGGCTTAAGCTAGGTCAAGATTACATGATTACAGGAGAGCATCTTCAAGAATTTGCCAATGAAGGTGAGTTGTACATATATATATGGCTATGATTAGCGATTGTATACAATCGCTCGGCAATTCTAATCCTAAACTAATGATCTTGCTATCCCAATTCCACAGGTCTTCGAACATTGTGTCTTGCCGTGAGGGATATTGATGCTTCATATTACGAGGAGTGGAATGCAGACTTTAAAGAAGCTATCGTTTCTACGACCAACCGCGACTCTCGCGTTGCGGCCGTCTCTGAACGGATAGAAAGGGATCTAGTTCTTCTCGGTGCGACGGCAATAGAGGATCGTCTTCAAGATGGGGTACCCGAATGTATTGCCACTCTGAAGCGTGCGGGAATAAAGATATGGGTGCTGACAGGCGACAAATTAGAAACAGCAATTAGTATTGGATTCGCCACCTGTCTCTTAAGCCACGATATGAATTTAATTGTTATTCGTGAAGGATCCCGTGGTAAACCAAATGATATAGGTGTATATGAACAGCTGCGTAATGCTGCAGATTTTTTCAGAGATGATCCTGAAATACAGAAAAACTTGGAAGAAATGGAAGCACCAGAATCAGCTGAATCTACCGGTACACCGCGTCCATCTTTGTCAAATTACCGGTCTACGAGTATGGGGGCAGATTCTCTTTTCTCCATGCCTACTAGCCCGCGTACTGGTGGATATGCTCTTGTAATCGATGGAGTTGCACTAAAGCACGCATTAGAGAAATGGAGACCCTTATTATTAAACTTGGCATGCAAATGTAAAGGTGTTGTATGTTGTCGAGTATCTCCTTTACAGAAAGCCGAGGTAGTGAAGTTGGTGAAGCATGGTAAGGATGTGTTGACCTGTGCCATTGGAGATGGAGCAAACGATGTCAGTATGATACAGGTAATATAATCTCGGAAAATAATTTATGTTGCATATTTGATGACATTAGCCAGTTATTTACTTCCAGCTTCCTTTATATTCTAGGCTGCTCACGTAGGAATTGGCGTTGTTGGTGAAGAAGGTCTGCAAGCGGTAATGTCGTCTGACTACGCGATAGCACAATTTCGTTTCCTCACTCGACTATTACTTGTACACGGACACTACGCATACATCAGGAACTCGTCGATGATTGTAAACTTTTTTTATAAGAATATGATAGGCGTCGGAGTACTCTTCTGGTTTCAATTCTTTTGCGGATATACAACAACGACAATATTTGAGTTCACGTACATCCTATTCTGGAATCTGTTTTTCACCTCAACACCAATCTTTGCTATCGGTATATTTGATCGCGATGTTCCCGATAGAGTTGCTGTCCAAGTTCCTGAGTTATATAGATGGGGAATGGAGGAGAAATCCTTCACGTTGGCTAGATTCATTATGTATATGCTAGACAGTGTATATCAGTCATTGATATGCTTCTTCGTGCCATACTTTGCCTATCGATTAGGCAGTGTAAATACTTATGGTCGTCAACCTGATCTCTTGGAGATGGGTACGACAATGGCAGTTGCATGTGTCACCCAGGCTAATTTATTCGTCGGATTCAATTTTAAGAATTGGACTGTACCTCATCTTATTACAGTGTGGGGATCCATTGCTCTGATGTATGTGTATGTTGCGATATATAGTCTTCTACCATTCTCATTGGTGTATGGATATGATCAAGTTGTATACGGCGGAGCAACATTTTGGGCTTGCATAATGCTGATAATAGTAATGGCGTTCCTTCCTCGATACGTATACAGATACTATCAAAGGACATGTTATCCAAGAGATGTGGACATTATCAGGGAATTGGTCAAGATTGAGCCACCAAACCATAACTTTTCGAATGATTCTCGAGTGAACCCGACTCTCAACATGACCAGAAGCCCTACATCTGATACAATAATATCGTCTCTACGGCCACCACAATCTGACAGCATCACATTTACACCTCGTCCCAGTTTTACAACTGATCGTACGATGCAGAATCTGTCATTGACACCAGATTCTCCCATACAATCCGAATTTCCTGTACAGGATATACAGGAAGGATCTTGTATGGTGGCCAATATGCAGACGGGGGAAGTAATTACAATGCGTGGCTATGCATTTGCACAGGAGGCTGGCACTGGACGCATGATTATGGGTACACTACGGCGTAGAAAAACTAATCCGGCACTCGCTACTCGAGAAACCGTAGTTAAGCCAAGCCAATTGCGACGTAGGAGTTTGCCTGATGTTAGAGCATCAAAAGACATGACAGATGTTTCAGATGTCTCAGATGTCGAGAAAATACGGATGGTGACGTTTACCGAGTCTGCAACAAGTAGTACTACCGCGACTGCATACTCGTCACGTAGACAAAGTGAATTGGCGAGTGAATCATTATCCTTGGAGGAATTATCTGGTGCTCAATCCGAAACGACTGGTGTCACAGAACGGAGTGGAATAGTTAATAACGTCGATATCGAAGCTAGAGTTCTTAATAGTGTTGTTGAAAATATAAGTAATGAAGATAATGTTCTTATCGAGGTGGTTGATGGGACTAGCAATGACGATGATATTTCTAGCCGAACAATGGAAGACGGAAATAATGCCGTCAACCGAGAGTCTAATGTGTAACTTGGTGGGATAATTCCAAAGATTGCCGTCAAACTAATTTGAAATCTGTAGATACTAATTGTACTAGTTACGAGAAAAATGTATTAATTGTTGTCATAATAGAGTTTATGGGTTTTCCAAAATCGTTTGAATCAAACCAATTTTATTGTACACATGTTTGCTGTGTTTGTACATTTTTGACAAAGTCCCAAACAAAGTTCCGCCGAGGAATGTGTTACAAAATTTAATGATGTTGTACATTGGTCCAAATAGTATCGTGTTTCCTGAAACAATGCGGTCTTCACAACGGGGACATTGCAAATAGCTCGTTGTGTAGCTTGTTTTGGCAGGTATACAATTTCCATGCTATTTGCTAGCGATAACAAAGAATATACACACGAGTTGACGGAAACCAAATACGGTGTAAATTTTTCACGTGACAAACGCATACCCTCAGGTCGCTGTCTTGCGAAACGTCAATGATGTCCAAAAAAAAAAGTTACACAGAAGTGTCCCTGAGCAATTGTTAAGCAAAACGAATGCCAAAAAACATTATTGAATTAGAGACATTTATGGGTGAGGAGTGAAAATATCCCAGATAGCAATTGATTATTAATAAAATACAGTGGTTGTTTAAATTTACTCTAATTTTCCCCTACAGTGTTGTTCCGTTGAACATTTTAAACTAAGTAGAAGGCTATCGGGAATATTATTCCACTCTTCAACCATAAACCTCTCCAATTCACTAAAATTTTCAGAATTTTCAGTTTCATTAAGTTTTTTGGGATTCCAGTAAACAGTCTCAGGTGGAATTTTTATCTGTGAGTATATTTCAGAAGCATTGCATGTTTTCTGCTTTAGAAATGATCTTGCTTAGACGGAGCTATTTTGTAGTAGAATAACTCTCTATAATTACATAAAATAAATAACACTAAAAATAAGCTTTTGTTTTTATTTTAAATGATATGAGTAAGTTCATAATTGGGGAAGTTACCTATACACAAACTATAGAAATTGCCTTTTTTTTTGCACACCGCTGTATATAGATTGTCAGCTTTCATTCATTACATTTTTTGTTGCACATCTCGGCTTTAATTGCTTTCGTCATAGATGCTTGTATTGATTAAAGTTTATACAAGCTAACAGTATGGATCTTGGTCTTTTTGCCACAATAGTCATGTATTATTTGATCGCGTGAGCACGTATATCGATCCTCGCCATTGTATCGATATCGGTTAGTTCAAATTCAACACAAGATAAAAGTTCAACTCGACAGGAGCATTTCACGTTGCCGGAACAAAGGAACATAACAAAGAATTCTAAAACGGCAAGTATTCTGATTAGGGTAATTAAATACTTTATTATAAATAAAAATGCTGGTAATGTTGTAAGGAAGAAGAAAAGGTTGTACTATAAAGATTTTACCTTCAAAACATCCAAGGCTATACGTCAACATTTAAGACAAGATTCAATCCTTCTTTCCTGAAAGATAGTGACGAGCTTGGCTGAAAAGAGTCTATATAGAACTTTTTCTTCGAAACCTGTGTCGATAAAATAATTTCTTCAGTCATCTAATGCTTTAAGAACCAGAATTAATGAATGTAATGGGATAAAACATTAAGCAACTTTGTCACAATTTACCACATTATTTTATTAAATTACTAACGTTGCGTTATGCCTTTCTCTTCAGATAATTTCTGTTTTGCCTATCAACTTGTTAGCTATTAATACATTTACTATTGGCTATTCACAAAACTTATTCAAACTTTAGCTTATAAGTTATAATTATTTTTAGTATCTTTGCGTATTAGTTGATAATTGATTATAAGGAACGATGTATCTTTTTTTTTTATTCTCGAAATTAACTGCCAAATTATTTAACTTGGTGCTTCAACATGATAAAAAAGGTGTAAATTTCCTACTGAGTTAAATTGTTTCGGTACTCTTTTATTTAGTTATTAATTATGCCGAAAAATTTTCTGGATAAACTAACAACATTTTATATACATAAATACAGAATATTATTATTACCATATTAAGTATCTCAATATAAAACGTATTTGAGATATCAGAAACAGCTTGTGTTTTTAAATCCATAAACGTACTTTGTCCGAAATAGTGGTTCTTACAAAATTAATATTCTCATAGCCGCTAATGGAGTAAACGGGGATTGGCGATTTTGCCGATCAATTAAGCAAAAATCCATTTTTTCGAGCATTTCTGTTGCTTATATTGAAGCTAATTGGTTGTATTTTTCGAAAAAAAGTAATGATATATTCAGCCCATTTATCGCTTAAGGCTGCAGTTCGATAAAGTGACGGTATCCATGTTGTTCATACATTTTCATATTGTTTAACATACGTGCGTAGATACCATCATTTTATCGTAACTATTTTAAATTTTACATTATTTCTTTTCAAAACTACAACCAATTAGCCTCAAAACGATGCAAAAATTACAATGACTTGCATGGTACGTATAGACAATAGAAATACTTTTGGTAGGTGAATGTAGAAATCTAATTGACGTTCAATAATTGAGCATAGTGAATTTGATGACGATTTACAGAATTGATTTATTAAAACTGCTTTATTATTTATCAGCTTGCAAACCAAGTTGGTTTAAAACCGACGCGTAACTTGTGTTCGAAACAAGCGAGTTTCAGTTATGATAGACTGAGTACGGGCCAAATACCAAATCAAAGATTGTCCAAAAATTAAATTCCCTTTCGATTCAAATTGTTGTTATTTGATAATCGTTGGTACCCTTATTACCCTTATTTAGATACAAATAGAAAATACATCGTATAGGGATTGGTTAAGCGCGCGAATAACCAAGTTTTTTAATTAAATAAGTCACTCGGAGCATAGTTACCAAAAACAAAACTATTGATGAACAAAACTTATTCGCCAGACATTGAAACATTGTGACCTAAGACAGTTATACGACAGAAGTACCAAACCAGATTCAAAATTTTTAGTTAACAAAATGGCGTTTGAATTCACAAATCACTTGGCAAAGAAAAGTTGTTGCGGCTTCTGCAATACAAAACTTCTATCTACGAAGAACAATTTCATGGAAAAAGCCAGGGAGGCAATTCAACGGTAGATTAATGAGGAGAAGTACGTGAAGATTACGATTGAAAATATTAATATTGATGATGGAGCTGAAGATGATTTTAATAATAATAATAATAGGAATTTTAAATTTGCATCATAATCAGAGTGGCCAAAGAAATAGGTTATACTCATTAATGGCTGGGTTCGAGTATTTCCTCTCATGCAATCACTCTATAAATAGAAGTACTAAATTATCATTATGTTTATGTTTCAAATTGTGTCAAATAGCGAAGTGCAAATTAAAGCTCAACAAATGCACATCTTTATAATAATTTAAAGGCTATAAGGAACAATTGCTCAACCAATAGAAGTTTAAATTAATTTTCTTTATATTTCTGTTTGTTTATTATGAATTGGTGTTTATTGATTATTCTTCTTTTCTTACCCAGATTTCGAGAATTTAGTATCATGCATTTTAATAATGTAAGAAGCAAATTTTTGAGCTTTCTTGAAAATACTTCTAATTGTATTGTAAATTTTAGTTTCCATAGTGAATTTGGAACTGGCTCAATAGTTGCTCTTACCAAATAGCGGGATGGTACGATATTGGCGATATATAGATACTATTCATTACTTTATTTAGTATGTGAAGAGAATTATATTAATCCTCGTTATCCGCTTCTAGACTGAACCGTTGTCTGTTGCTTGTTATGAGGCACGGATAACTTGTAATAACCTTATTTAATGGCATAATTTTTATATTGTTAAATTTCGTGGGTATTCTTTTAGTGAAAAAGAGTATTCGGTGAAGCTTGATAAGGTACTTTTTGGTTCGCAAACGCAGTTTAACATTAAAAAATTATCGACGTAAACAAAAGCTTGGTATCAATATATTTTTCTATTGAGCGTGCATTTTTAGTTACGGAAGGCTAAGAAGTCACATTAGTCGCACGTTGATCGACTATCCAATGAGATGACACGGCAAATAGTATCTACACGTCACTCTCGATATAATGATCCCCGATAAGATGAAGTTGGCCTAATATGATGCTTTTCCCCGGAACTAATAAAATTGGGCTCGATATAATGATAATACTTATAATCTCGCGAAATGAATTGTTGTGCGATTCATATATTGATATATTAAAACGGTTCTCGATATAATGAAGTGCGTAAATCATCACTATAATTGGTAATCATTTTATCGAGCATTAAATAATTAAATCAATTACTATTACGAAATGCTTATTTTCTCAAGTACTGTCACAATCCAACATAATGGAATGAATGCTATTCTTGAATTTTAATGAAGAAGAGAAAGTTGGCAACGACGATAATATTCAACATTTAATTGACCGATTGCCTATTTCGGATCCTTTAACATCGACAATTCTCAAGAAATACCCACTGACCAAGAAATAATTGACATGGTAAAGTGTCCTGATGAGCCTGAAGAACAGTTTCATATTGTCAAAAGCGGTGAAGCATTCACGGAGTAGATCAAAGATGTAATTACTAATTACATTAGACAGCAGAACCAAGAGTTTGTTATCACAAATGAAGAGTTTAAAAAAAAATACTTTTATAGAATAGCTATCTGAATAAAGAACTTTGTCACGTGACTCAAATATATTGTTGATCTTTCGATAATCTAACAAATAAGTTTGACAAGATCACCAATTACAATCTGCATCATCATGCCAATTTCCGAGTTTTCACTAACGAAACCTTATATAGGGCAAGCGCCCACCGTGTATTTCCAATCAAGTGTTACAGATTCATACGATCAAATAACGAATAGAATGGCAGTATATTTACATTTAGCCATAAAAATGATCGAACACAAGCACGAACAGAATCTTTTGCCTAATTAACGATTATGATGAGATTTAAAGGCAGTCACGCTGTAATCGCCTCTATAGCAGTATTGGGCGCTCTTATATTCTTCTTTCCTGAGCCCAAGGCTGGTAGCATTCCTCCACAGGAAAAGTCTAGATTTACAGGATATCCCGCTTGGCATGGAACATGGCAAGGTAGGGAAAGAATATCAATTCAGCACTTTTTTATTAACAAATTTCCTCATCATAATTCCAATTTTACAATGCCTATTTTTCAAGGTATCGATCCATTCATCTTGGATGCTTCCGCAGGCTTCTCTGTTTTAGTTGGCGGCATTGCTGGGTTTCTTTCTATAATATGGACAAATCCGTCCTATCCCATCTCCGTTAAATGCATCACCTCCTTCTACGATGGCTCTCATGTAACCCCGACGACTCTATTCAATCGTGTGCTAGCTTATTACCTGTTATTCACTCATTTTGCAGGAACGGCATTTCTAATATTAGATCTTGGAAAATTGTGGTTAACGTTCGGTGTTTTGCACAATGCATGGGAGGTTGCGCTTCTGTTGCTGTTATTTATGGGAGGAAGGGTCAAGAGCCAGTGGTACTTTATTATTTTGTTTGTATATATATTTATCGTCGTTTTATTGAGTGTGTTATTGCCATGGCCCTTTGATGCAATATTCTTCAAATGGCAAGGTAAGAAATGGAAACAAACAAAAATACAAACAAACCAGATTTCATCAGACTGAATGATAGTAAATCAACTAACTCGTCCCTCAATTTGTTGTTCACTGCTTCCGTCAATAGGCCTTTGCTCTGACTTTGCGCTTCCGATGGTCTTCACAATTCTCTACATTAACACGCGAAAGTATCTAAGAAATTATGGAACTGATACCATTCCACTCGTTCTTATTGAAGACGTCGACGAAGTGGAAAAACATGGTCTCTTCCCGACTACATTCGAACACCCAAAACAACTTATACCATTAATATTTGCGAGTGTTGTACACACCGGTGGTAATATACTTGCTACATGGTTTTTGCAAAGTTTAAAGGCGTAAGTATTATTTAGTTTGGAAGGCTACGTTCCATTTGCTATGAGGTTGCATGGACGTATTGATACACGATTATTATACTCGACGTTATTATTCAAATACTAATATAATCGTCTTGTTTTCTTAGATTCCTTGTTTTCCAATTCTGCTACATAATCTCCTACCCTATATATGCCTATTACATCTACCTCGACACGCACTATGAAAGTGCATCTCTAATTAAACGCTATTACCTTCCTAAACGGCCTCTATGGAAAGACGTTGTTATCGGTATCTGGTCTATTGTTATGTCATTATCAATGATTGCCATTGGTGTAATCATTTGCAATAACGATGTAAAGGATAATATAAACGATATGTAAGCAATATAATAGGACAGAGATTGTGAGATCAGAAACAAGTTTGAGAACGTAGAGGAGTCTGCAAACAGTGTATTTAGCGTTAAATGCAACAAAATGTAAACAATTACTGTGGTTCATCTCATACCTAATGAAAATGCTACTTCTATCGATAATAAATAATCAATCAATCAATACATCTTGCTCTTCAACTGATGAAAAGGTGGCCCGGATGGATCGAATTGATCAACAATAGCTAAAAATAGTCAACTATAATCAATCAATTGGCATAGCTATGTTACATAACTAAGGCTCCATCAAGCAATGCAATGCCCGGAGAAAAATTCCCCGGGAGCCATTTAATCTGAAGTCCACACCTATCACACCTAAATACTTTATTTCCACCCAAATTCCTCCTAATATATCCGCAACGACTGCATGTTTTATTACGATTTTACCAAATTCTTCCGCTTTAGATTCCTAAACCTAGCATGCGCCCAGCTCATCATCTTAAACAAAATTGATATTAATTCTATTATTTTACATTAATTCCGATTATAACATCGTAAAATCCATCCTAAATTTTC